CGGGTTAGGGTTAGGGTTTGGTGAGTTCCAGGTATTGTTGCCGTCGTAGGATTGCCGCGGTCGTGAGCCGTTTTGACGTCCGCGACCTCACCCCCGATTTCCACCGCCACGGTCTTGGCCTCGTCCGTAGCCTCCATGTTGTCCGGGATTGCCGTCACCATAGCCTATGCCTCCATGCTGTCCGCCATAGCTGCCGGGAGTACCGCCGTGGTAGCCGCCACCGGCACGGTTCGTGAGAAGAGTCGTGGTGCCCGAGTCGGTGGGACTCGTTCGTTGTCGATCCAGAAGCATGAGTGCAGAACGGACCTGCAGAAAAGTGGGCATGGGATCCTGAAATTGCATGAAAGATGTTTGTGCCTGAAGATCTGCAGGAAGACCACGAAGCATTTGGAGAACAAGTTGGTGCTGGGAGAGTGGTGCATCGACATCGTCCAGCCAGTCGGCCAGATTCTGCAATTGTTGGCAATAAGCCACCATGGTGGAGTTGCCTTTGATGGTCGTGTGAAATTCATGCTCGAGTTGCATGGCCCTGGCATGTTTGTTGTCGTGGAATAAGTCGTGAACGACTTTCCAGAGAGCAGAGGCAGTAGAAACAGAGGAGATTACCAGATCTGAGACCTCATCGGTGATGGTAGAGAGAATCCAACCGTGGAGGAGAGCGTCGAGTTGGAACATTCATCGTCGTCATCGGAGAGGGGGACGACGGAGCCAGTGAGGTAACCCTGGAGGTTGAAGCGCCGAACAAGAAGGAGAAAAAGTCGGCTCCACTTTCTGTAGTTGGGTTGAGAGAGACTGAGTTGAACAGGAACATGGAGTTTCACATTAGATACTGTTGTGAAAGCAAGATGAGGAGGCTTGGGGGAGGTATTTTGGAGGTGACTTCACTGGCTTCGGCCATGATTGTGAGAGAGGGGAGGGATGACTGCCGGCGAGAGGAGGAGACGGCGGCAGGAGGGGCTGCCGCTGGTGGGGCGGCGGCTCGGGTTGAGAGAGGGAGAGAGTAGGGGAGAGAATTAGGGTTTTGGTATTTTAGGCTCTGATACCATGTAGAAAGATTAATTTTCTTGATTGAATATGTGGGAGTACATGTGTTTATATATACATGGTATTCGTATTCCTATACAAGGTAGGAGATAATAATAGGAAACAATATATTTACATTAAATATAGAATATATTTAACAATTACTTTACTCAACTTTAGAAATTATAAACTCATTTGTATTCTCTTCAAATTCCAATGTGGGATACTCTCAACCAACAAAAATTGTGCATAATAATGATCATAAAAGTGAATTAAATGACTCCTAGAAAGAGTAATGTTAACACATTTGCCCAAAATTATTGGAGTGACATGTGTTTATCCTCAAAATATGATTTTGTATTCCGAAAATGTGGCATTACATATTAGCATTTCACAATATATTTTTCTGTAATATTTAAAAACATTATTGGGAGAATAATCTTATTTTGGGATAACCAAGTGTGTATGGTCATAGAACATACTCCAAGCGTGTATTTTGGGATAACCGAGCGTGTGTTGGGAGAATAATCTTATTTTGGGATAACCAAGCGTGTATTGGTCATAGAATAATCTAATTTTGGGAGTATCTTTTACCCTTCTTTTAATTGATTAAGCATTGCAAATCAATTTCAAACATAAAGTTTAGGCAATTGATATACACGTTCCACTTTTGTTAGTGGCACTCTACCCTCCTAATATTTTTTTATGTTTCCCATCTTGCCCTTTTATTAACGATTAATCAGCCACCCACCCATCAAAAGTAGCTTTTCATATTTCAACCACCATACCTATTACAATTCGCACCCATTCCAATTATGAAAAATGCTAGGGGTACACCAAATGTGTACCCCATTTGTCCACCACCCCCTCCTTGTCCATAAAAAAAGGCAAAAAATTTAAACAAAATAAATAAAAATAAAATAAAAATGGATGGTGAAGAAGTGAGTGGTATACATTTGGGGTACACTTTTGGTGTACCCCTAGCAGTTCAATTATTCCTCTGCACCAACTCATTTGATCTTTCTACTTGAGGAAGCAAGCACATCCCAAATTGGTAGTTCAGGTTCATTTACTTTTCAAATTCAAAAAAAGAAGACAAGTTACATCCACTCCACGAGATAGCTCAGAGCATGAAATTGTTGAGAGAAATCATAAATGCAGTAAATATGGTGGCTTGGGACATAATATCCGGTCATGTGTGAACAAGGAGCTGAATTAAACGGTACTTTGCCTTACTTGTATTTACAATTTTTTTTATCTTTTAGCACTATAGTCTACTTCTACCTATTAAATTGTTTTTTTGTAGGGTTTTTTTGTACTGACTTTTGGTGCATGAAGTAAGGTATATGAACCATTAGTATGCTTTATGGTAAGTTGATGAAGGTAAACATTTTCTTAGGTACTTCATATTGTGCCATAATTTTTTTCTTCTTCTCGGAATTTGTCAATAAAAATACATAAATAAATATGATAAAATTGTTTATGCAGGTCCATAACCACTCATATGAAGGCATTCACGTAAAGGTTGATCTGTCGATGAACTGATACAATGATTGTTGCATCCATTGGAACATGATCTTTGAACCTTTTTTTATCATGTCCCTTTGTGATACTATTTTTTGTCATGTATGAACCAATTAAAATATAATACCGTAGAGTGCATTAGTAGAATATTGTCTATTTATAAACTGCAATATTGGAACATGAAGGATTTTGAGTTTTTTGGTACAAGAGATACTTGGACTTGCTGCCTATTTATTTGTTGTTTTTTGTTTGTAACCTTTTGTACAGAAAATCTTTTGGTAATAGGATAGCTACTTTCTAATTGTAGGGGAGCAAGATGATCATTTTATTAAAAGAAATAAAGATGGTGGAGCGCCAATAACTTAATTGGAGCGCATATATCAACTCCCTAAAGTTTACGAAATAAATCTTCCAAATTTTAAAATAAAGGTGAGAGTCTGGTTTCATAAAGTTAAGCTTCCAAATTTTAAAATAAAGGTGAGAGTTTGGTTTCATATCTTTTACACACACATATATGTATATATAAAGGCATGGACATATTGAGTAAAGTGGTAAAATAAAATATGGATAATTTTGTGTTGGTTTTTTAAAAATAACATTGATGTGATGGGTAAAAGTAGGATGTGATAGGTAAAAGTAGGATGTGATGTGTAGATTATAAGGAAAAAGGTATGACGTGATAGGTAGAGTATGAAAAGGTAAAGGTAAGATTTTTTAATAGAAATGGGAAAGATTTTTGGGGACATGGTTTGTTTGAAACGTAGAAGACTTTTTGGGACGAGAGTATATAACTACATCAAAATTTTTATAAAAGAGGATGTGATATAATTATATTATTCTATCAAATGACTGGGGAAAATAGATTATAAAGAAAGTTATTAAAAATTAATCTTGTGAATAGAAAAATAGATACACTAATTTAAAACATGGTGGTCCAGCACGAGCTAGCATTGTAACACTAACAAACGAAATCACAACTCAATAATTTCAAAAAAAAGGTATAAGCAGATACTATAATAGCATCGGTGCCCCGTGGTTTACAAAAGAAGCGCCAAAACTCCCTCTATTTTCAAAAGTTATTTGTAAAACTCCTGTGGTTTTTAAATAGTGCACAGACACCTCCTCTTGCCTATTTTAGACATGAAATGACATTTCTACCCTTGGTTTTTTTCTATCTTCAAATTTCACTCTTTTCTTTACATTTTTTGTTATACAAATAAATAAAATAAAATAAAATATACACCCTCTTTGTCAAATTAAAATTTTTCGTTTATTTAAATTTCAAAAAAATAACTTTTTTTAGAAAATGTTACAAAAATGAAATATAATACACTTTTTCATTATAAGTAAAAGTAAAATAAATAAAATAAAAAACTAGATAGCATATACTCACTCTATCTCTAATTAAAAAGTCTAACTTATTTGTTTTTTAAAAGTAAAATAATTTTTTAAGGACTTTAAAAAATGAAGAACAGAAAGATGAAATAAAATATGGAGTTAAAGAAAAAGACTATTTTTTATATTTTTATTTCTTTTCATGAAAAACAGGGGGGTTTTGACGCTCTTTTTCTTTATGTATATATATATATATATATATATATATAAAACAGAGGGGTTTCTTTATATATATTTATATATATATATATATATATATATATATATATATATATATATATATGAAAAATTGGAAAAATTCAAGATCATGAAAAACAAAGGGTATAAATGTCATTTTTGTTTTAAAAATAGGTAAGGGGGCATGTGTGCTCTATTTAGAAACCAAAAGGACGTTACAAATAACTTTTGAAAACAGAGGAGGTTTTGACGCTCTTTTTGTAAACCACGGGGGACACTCATGCTATTAACCCCTACAATCTATAATAAACAATGTGCAGAGAGAGTATGTATGTAATTGTTTGGGATTGATAGATAGATAGAATCCGTTAATTAGTTCATCATGGATGGATCACCTGTTGTGTAAGGGATCGGGAGATGAGGGCGCTCTTCTTTTGCATTCTTCAAAGTAGTGATCATATGCATCTTCATCATCAATATTATCATCAAAGTAGTGTCCACCACCCACCACTAATACACTTCGTCCTAGTCTCTGTCTTTGATGAGCTGCTGATGACGCCCAGAATAAGAATAAGAAGAAGAAGAAGAAGAAGACAATTAACGCCGCCGCCCCTGCAAAAAGCCGCCGCCACCAAATGACATTATTACCATTGCGCCCCACCATCTCCGTCTTCGATATTGTAATTATTATTGCTCCTAGCTATTATAGCTCGATCGATCTGTGTGGTGATGATCGCATATATGAGCGAGCTACAAGTAGTATTTGGTTAAAGATTTTGTTGTGGTGCATGCGGTCAAGGGTGTATTTAATATGAAAAATGCTAGGAACCGCACGCGTAGACCAAGTGGCAAACACTTGGTGAAGTTTGAAGAATGACCAAGGATCTAAACCTGGCACCTCTGAAAAATGGGAAAGTCCCTGGTGCGCACTAGGATATGGTCTAGCTAAGTGTTGTGCTTGGGTCACCGTGATTTATCTCCTCTCACATTCTCGTCGGGTCGGGGGTGAGGGGCGCCCGGGGTGAGCGATTTCACCTTTTGGAGAATATGAAAAATGCTATGGGTACACCAAATGTGTACCCCATTTGTCCCCCACCCCCTCCTTGTCCACAAAAAAAAGGCAAAAAATTTTAAAAATAAATAAATAAAAATAAAATAAAAATGAATGGTAGAGAAGGGGTGGTGTACATTTGGGGTACAGCTTTGGTATTGCTCATTTAATATTTATTGGGGAGATTCACTCAATCGTCCACTTGTAGATACTCTCTTTGACTTGTAATCATAAATAATGGAGTACTATTACTCCCTTCCAATTCAAAAGGTTGTTCAATGCACACTTTGAATTTGACTCCTCAACTATATACGGAGTAACTTTTTCTAAAGCCTATATATATATATATATATGGGATTGACTCCAGTGAGATGACACCTTACGGTGAGATGACATGCTTCAGTCAGATGACACAAAGCTCACCACACTACACTACAAAGCTCACTAATGGACAATGCAAAGCTCACCTGGAAATAAAGCAAAGCTCACCATCTTGAACCCCAAAACGAACCTTTTTTTTAAATTTTAAAAATCTAAAAATTAATTAAAAATAAAATAACAACACCGGTCAACCACCGATCAATGGCGGCAGAGCAGCAGCGGCGACCGGCGGCGGCTGCCGGAGATCGGCGACGGCGACCGG